TAATTCTTGAAAATCCCTAAGGGACTAGATGAATAATGTTAAGTTTTAGAAAAAGGTAATAAGCCTAATACTAATGTCTTATGACAAGTATAGTTGTAATCATTCTTCATGAGTTTGTAAAAGTCATACACACCATAACATGGTATTATGTACGTGATGCCAGAGTTACCAACCATTCATTTTACATTGCACTGTTTATTTAATGGCAGTTAGTGGTAAAGAAGAGTAAATACCAGATTCAATATACAATAATAATGTATGTGAGGATATAAAATGTATACCAGTTTTTCTTATAAATATTAACTTAGCATCGCAAAAAATAAATTTTATCTTACCTATGTTTACCTTCTGGTGGCTTCAGAATTAATCCTACTGGTCTGTTCGTGTCTTGTAATACAGGCTCAACATCTCCATCTTGCCCCAGCTGGAGAAAAATGTCTTCAGAAAACAAAAAATTATATGTAGTTTATACCCAAAGAAAAGAATGTAATTTCTAATTGTAAGATTTCAGGCTTTATTCCTTTCTAACTAGAAATATTTACAGTAATAATAAACTATGAAATACAAAAGCTATTTAGATTCTGGTATTTTAAAGAAAATTCATCTAATATTTCCTTATCAGTTGGGTTTAAAGAGAAACCAATGTTTCCAGAGAAACAGCCTCAGGTAATGAGAAAAATATGATAAGGATTGGGAGAGGTTAAACCTGATCAGGGATGTATTTACCTAAACATCAAATGAAGAAAGGAGTCTAGAAAAAATGTGATTTAGCTAGCCTCGAAAAACAACTCAAATGAGTAGCTTTGTGAATTGTCATTTGTGTGGCTCAATAACAAAACTCTTCTAGGAGGGCTCTACGTCATCTCTATAAAAGTTTATATAAGTACCTACTCACTTCTAGGAGGGCTCTACGTCATCTCTATAAAAGTTTATACAAGTACCTACTCACTTCTAGGAGGGCTCTATGACATCATTTCTATAAAAGTTTATATAAGTATCTACTCACTTCTAGGAGGGCTCTACGTCATCTCTATAAAAGTTTATACAAGTACCTACTCACTTCTAGGAGGGCTCAACATCATTTCTATAAAAGTTTATATAAGTATCTACTCACTTCTAGGAGGGCTCTACGTCATCTCTATAAAAGTTTATATAAGTACCTACT